CACGCGTGAACAACGTCAGCGACACGAATGGTAGTCAATATTTGTATTGTTGTTACGCACAATGAATTACGAAATGTGGATCACCTCTTCCAGGGCCGTATTTTAGCGCACACGCCACACGCCACAACACACACACACAGGCACACGCACGACACACACGCAACACACACACAGCAACACACACACACACACACACACGTCGCTTGAACCATCGTACACGCGGCAGGGAATTATACGTGCTGTCACGTGATCACGTGTAGCGGGTCGCCGGAGCGGGTGTATAAAGGGAGAGTTGAGCATGGGTGGCCAGTCTCTCAGCGAGCAGGCTGGATTAGATTCACACGTATTTTACGTCGAACTCATCGCACCTACAGGTAAGTGCTGCAAGCGTCATTAAGCGAAATTCATTTGAAACGAAAAAGAGTGCTGATTTAGAGTGCATATACACTGTTCATCATAATAAAAGGAAATTTTTATTCTAAATTTATTCGATAGCTTTATAGACACTATGTGTGGTTGCTCGTATAACGTGAGTTTTAACTATTATTCGTTATAGTTTTGCAAAAGCTCTTTTGCACTCTTAAAATATAGTTTTTACAAAGGCACACAAATGTGCAATGTTGAAAATATAATAAAATTATCAAAGCTATCAAAATATCTTAAATCGGTGCTCAAGTAAGTGTAAAGGTTACATTATTATTATAATAATCTGATTATATCAGGCAAAAGACCAGCTAAACAGTCCACTATGTGTCGCTGTGAGCGCGTCAAGATACAGAGAAAGAGAGAGAGAGAGAGAGAGAGAGAGAGAAAGAGAGAGAGAGAGAGAGAGAGAGAAAGAGAGAGAGAGAGAGAGAGAGAGAGAAAATGGGAGAGAGAGCATGCGAGCGAAAATGAGAGAGAGGGAGAGAGAGTGAGTGAAAGAGAAAGAGAAAAAGAGAGAGCGAAAGAGAGAGAGAGAGAGGAGACAGGGAGAGAGAGAGAGATATAGGAAGAGAGAGCTGGAAAGAGAGCAGCACACAATGCGAACACTGTTTTCTGCTGTTTCCGTTCATTTGCATTTACCTACTTTTGTGCCTATAGCTCATCATAGATTCACTAATCATATCCATTATATCCATTACCGTTATTTCGTTTTTATTTGTTTAATGTTTGTGCAAATTTATCTTATTTTCAGCATTTAACAAAATCATTCTTTATGTAGCGGTTATGCGAAGGTAAACAAATATGTTAAGAGATGTTGAAAGTCATTAAACTTTAAATTAATTCATCAGTCAATTAAATCATTTTGACTCATTCTCAAGTAAGAATAAATGTTATTGAAAAAACCTGGCACAATGAAAACTGTTGTTTACTATTTGCCGCTGTGATCACTTATAGCAAGAGTGAGAACGGTGGTGGTGAGGGGGAAAGGAAGAGAGAGGGAGGGAGCGCGAGAGAGCGGAAGCGCGAGCGAACGAAAGAGAGCGAGAGAGAGAGAGGGAGAGAGCGGAGGGAGTGCGAAAGAATTGGGTAAAATATATAATGATAAAGCTAGTTTTGACGTGATGCAGCCATGATGCCGAAGCTTGCCGAGTATTGACACTTTGTGTCTTCCAATCACAGCCTACGCCGCACCTCTGTTTGATATTTTTATAGGTGGGGACCCATAACAGCATGGAATCGCCGATTTCAGAAACTAGGGCATTCTGCTAGGCTAGAACGGTTTCCTACGATAGAGTTTGGCACAAAAACGAAAATAACACGCTGTTTAGCGCACTGCGCTACGTCCTTCTGGTGAATTTTCACATCTCCGTAATCGGAATAAGCCCGCCTTTTTCGTTGATGGGAATGAATGGGGTGAATGCCCGACGTTACCGGTTCCTGTACCTACCGTTTTTCGCCGGCCTATTTACTTTTCGTAAATAATGAAATGCCCGGCCGATGCATTTCGCGTCGAAGAAGAAAATTTTCCGCATTTATACTCGCTGTCGGAAGTGAACGAGTGCGTCATTCATTGAACATTTTTCATCAAAATACAGTCTTCTAAAACTACAGACCATCCGCTAACCGCTGTGGAGACTTGCGCCGGGCCTCGAATTTGGCGCACGTCTCCACTGCGGACAGCGCTTCATACTTTAACATCTCCGCGGTCGCGTGCGCATATCCCGCGGAACTGAGCGTCTCATCCGCGCGCAGCGCTTAGGATCAACAGCAAAGCTGTGCCACGCAATCTTGTATCATGTCTCTCTGGATTGCTGAACGATTTATTATGCGGATTCTATATTCACTTAGCGGATATTCAGTCGCGACCGGCAAACGCATATGATGCATTTATTCATAATACCACAGGAATTCTAAAGATTCTTATTTTGCTTATTCTGTAGCGTTGAGGTTTAAAGATGAACTCATGCGATTCGAATCTATAAAAGGTCATCAGTATAGAGCATGGCGGTGAACCGCCTGTATTCGCGCTCACATCGACTCTCATCATTTTAAATATTACTGCGGCGATATTCCACGTAATCAGCAAACATCGTTCTCTTGCGTTAATCCCCATTTAAATTCCCCCTCTCCCTTTCAAAAAACAATGGAACGTTCGCCCTCGGGCGTGCTACTGCTAGAGGAAGACAGACGATTCGCTCATCCTAGCCCAGTTACCTACATTCCACGACGTCTTCGCGCTATGCATGCTTCGTCATCAGAACCCGCTATTTGTCTGAATTTGCTGCAACCGTTAGTTCACCGGGTGTTGGTTTACACGCCGTACGCGGCTTGCCGTGTGCTGACAATGACGAATAGTCCGCAGATCGTAGCTTGGCAGCTGTGTACTGCGTCCGTTATACGCGCCTCGGGCCTCTGCCGAGTCTTGCTAGAGAGCGCGATGATCGCGCATTTTGAGCGCCGCGCTATAAACGAGTGAAGTTGAGCGTTCTGTTAGTCCCACGGATAGCCATCGCACTCCTTTATACCGAGTGCTCTCTAACTATATATAGCTACAATTATGTGGAGTGACGCCATATATAGCTGCATGAGTCTTATGTTAACCAGAGCGCAGGTGGATTTCCAACCCCTTTGGTTTGAGAACGTATTATTGCAGTAGGTCAACCTCCATCCACCCTGACCGCGAATGACTCAACAGTTTAAGCTGGTGCATACTAGGGTCTAGTGCATGCGGGTCAACCCCCCCCCCACACATACTCACACACTCACACACTCTCTCGCCCTTGTCTCTAGTAGGGTCGTCCCCGCAGTGTGCCGCGATCTTTGACTTTTAACTTTCATCTCTCGATCCGCTTGGCCGCTCGCCAAGCCTCCGCCTAATTATTACACCGTTAAACTATTATATCTAATCTGCTTGATGTATTATTTACCGATTGTTTACGATTTTACACGCGATTGCTCGGTGTTTAATTAAACTAAGTTTGCTCTACCGCAGGTTCTTTTTCCGCACGTTGCTTTATGGAGAGAGTTCTAATTAATAGATAAGTTCGACGTTTACATGACTTAAGCAACAGAAATTTAACAAGATTCATCCTGAGCACAAACATGTTTCTTGTTTTACCGAAAATATTTGCAGTATAATTCGGCTGTTATTTTCGCAGTTAACTTTATAAAAATCATTCATACATTTGTACATGTCTAATATTTATGCATTTTCTCTGTTTGTAGCAATGGATTATACATTTGTGCTTGTACTGCTGGTCCTTGGTGCAGCCTCTGGGGCGCCTACCATCAAATGTACGTCTGGTCCGTGCTTGAGACAGCAGCCTCTACCATAGCCACTTACCAATTATTTACTATTGGTTATATAATTAAATATATAACAATATTTTTAGTAATTTAGTTATAACTGTTATAACAATTAGTTGAGTTATAATTGTTAATTATTTATTTTAATTATATTTCGCAGATATTGTTTACGTTAATTGTTGTCGCGTTTTTTTCCTTGAAGGTTTACTAACGTAGTCAGATATAACAAAGTAAAATATAGTTTTACTATAGTTTACTAATAATATATATCGTTATATAGGTTTACTAACGCAGTCCGATATAACAAAGTAAAATACTCGTGAAATTATTATTAATTATTTGTTAGTTATTGTTAATTATTTGTTAGTTAGTAGTAAGATTGAGTTTTGTATTGTAGCTCCTGATACGTGCGAGGAGTACCCATGCCTTATCTTCGAAGATGACTTTAATAGCTTGGATGCCTCCGTTTGGGAACATGAGATCACGGCAGGAGGCAACGGGGTGAGCCATTGTGTGTGTGTGTGTGTGTGTGTGTGTGTGTGAGAGAGAGAGAGAGAGAGAGAAAGAGAGAGAGAGAAAGAGAGAGAGAGAGAGAGAGAGAGGAGAGAGAGAGAGATATATATATATAGGAAGAGAGAGCTGGAAAGAGAGCAGCACACAATGCGAACACTGTTTTCTGCTGTTTCCGTTCATTTGCATTTATACCTACTTTTGTGCCTATAGCTCATCATAGATTCACTAATCATATCCATTATATCCATTACCGTTATTTCGTTTTTATTTGTTTAATGTTTGTGCATATTTATCTTATTTTCAGCTTTTAACAAAATCATTTTTCATGTAGCGGTTATGCGAAGGTAAACAAATATGTTAAGAGATGTTGAGAGTCATTAAACTTTGAATCAATTCATCAGTCAATTAAATCATTTTGAATCATTCTCAAGTAAGGATAAATGTTATTGAAAAAACCTGGCACAATGAAAACTGTTGTTTACTATTTGCCGCTGTGATCACTTATAGCAAGAGTGAGAACGGTGGTGGTGAGGGGGAAAGGAAGAGAGAGGGACGGAGCGCGAGAGAGCGGAAGCGCGAGCGAACGAAAGAGAGCGAGAGAGAGGGAGAGAGCGGAGGGAGTGCGAAAGAATTGGGTAA